TGTGTGTGTGTGTGTGTGTGTGTGTGTGTGTGTGTGTGTGTGTGTGTGTGTGTGTGAGAGAGAGAGAGAGATAGAGAGAGAGAGAGAGAGAGAGAGAGAGAGAGAGAGTGTGTGTTATAACTATATGACCTTGAACTCCCCCAGATGGCCTTGACAGCAACGGGTGTGACGGTCGAGCTCAGCCAAATCGGCAATGCTCCCTTCGGTGGCGACATCCGGAACTGGACGTTCTCGTTCACAAACCATGGAGATGACATGGCTAGGTTTAAGGTAGAGTGCCTGCCGAAATCTGCCCTGAAACGATACATTGACTTATTGTGTAGTTTGGCGTAAATAAGTCTATTAAGTCTATTGACTTGAACCTGCTTGTAAAATAAGATAAGATAAGATAAGATAAGACAAAACAAGATAATATACGATACGATACGATACAATACGATAAAATAAGATAAGATTAGATAAGATAAGATAAGATAAGACAAGACAAGGTGAAATAAGATAAGATAGATAAGACAAGATAAGACAACATAAGACAAGATAAGACAAGATAAGACAAGATAAGACCAGACAAGATATGATAAGATAAGACAAGACAAAACAAGATGAGATGAGATGAAATGAGATGAAATAAGATCCGATAAGATAAGATAATTTTTTAGCCATTTTAACCAACATTGGATGTCTCGAAAGTTGTCAATAAATCGCTACCTCAGAATTACAAAGTTCTTTCGAACATTTTTGGCCATACTGAGTTACTAAGGCTAAGAGGTCAGAAACCAAATGTTCTATCTGCTCTGTAAAAATCGTAAGATTATTCGGAGTCGTTAACAAGATAATCAAAGAACTGCATTCGAGAAAGCTTGACATGTTGTGAAACTTAAAGTATTTTTTTACGACAGTTTTCTCAAAGCTAGGTACTGAGCAGACATAAATTTGTAATTCGAGGTTAGCGAAATAATAATAAACTAATGTTCTCCAACATAAATCGCCATATTTTCAAAGTTATGTGCCCCCCCCCCAAACCACCCAGGGCAGTGCTACTGACTGGAGTTGTCTTTAGGCCATTCCCAAAGGTGGGATATTAACATGTTCTTATGCACAGTAGAATTGTAAATGGGCTGATTTATCAATGTCATGCTCATACTGTGCCGGAACAGCATTGGGGGGTACTGTTGCTTTTTCTTTCCTCATCCTTACTATCATTTTTTAAATCTACTTCTTTTGTATGTTTGTCACTCTCTTGTGAACTGCTATTTCCGGGGTGTCTTGATGGTCGAAACAGACTGTGCTGTTGAGGCTAGAGAGGTGAGCAGAGTAAGCCTGATTCCCCGTTTGGACATCTCAGTTGATATCCACCCTTTGGCGCTCATATGACGTTAAAATAACAGTTGCGAGAGCCGTAAAACCTTACTAAAACTAAAAACTAAAACCATGTGTTCCCTGGACGCTCCCCAGTTTGACGTGAGCTCAGGTGACCGTTACCAGGTGCCTGTGCCTCTGTTCCGCCCCGCCCCCACCCCGACCAGCGACAGTCAGAAGTACGAGCTCAAGGTCACAGACACGGACAACTTCGCTTTCCAGATCCTCCGGAAGGCAACGGGGACTGTTCTGTACGTGGGTTTTCTTTTAGCTTTATCTTATTTAATGTTTTTTGTTTTGTTTTGTTTGAATTTAATATAGGCGTTGTTAATTGTTGTTCAGGGTAACCATTGCTTTTTTAAGAGCATCCAGGCAAAGGTGTGAATTGAAAACCACGATCGGCGATGTCTGTCGCAGATCTGGCCCTGGATCATGATGATGTTAGACCCTCATCAACACAGTTCAGATGATTTAGGAGGCGGGCTTCTTAACTTGCCTATCAGGGCCAACTTGGGCTGAGAGGGATACAACATCCCAGCCGAATAACCCAGATATTCCAAGAGAATTCTCCCTCACTCGGGAATCGAACATGGATCTCCTACGTGCGACCACCTAGTCACTACACCACAGACTCCGATGTGCTGTATGAAGGGAGAGCCTTTCATGTTGGTTTTCTCTTACTTATAGCTTTGCTCAATTGTCTTATCATCTTTCTACCAGCCCATTCCGTCTATATTAATTGTCTTTCTCAGTAGTATTCTCTACCTCTCATCCTCTCTCTCTCCCTCTCCA